CTGTCTACAAGGAAAGGCTATGAAGAGGTACAGGTGGTGGCCAGTGGCGGAGAAAGGGATGCTTCCTTGCGTATTTTCTTTTCTTTGCCACACACTTATTTTGGAACTTTGGACTTGAAATGGCTACTACCAACTACTTGATTTCTAAGTCTGATAGTCAGATGTATCTCAGACTCTCTGAGAAGGAGCTTCAGATTACCCTATGTGTCATCATGATTTTACTAACTGGCACCGCGGGTTATCTAAATCTTGGCTCTGTATCTCCCTGTTACTCTTTCTTTATCTCTGTCTCCTGTGCATCTCACCCTGTTTCTGCACACTCACATGCTCTGCTGGGAGTGTGTGTCTCTCCCTCTCCATCTCCCTTTCCCTGACTCTATCTGACCAAGATGTAGCCACTGCTACACACCAGCAAATCCTGGGCCCCGGCTGGACGGAGTATTTTTAGGATCCGAACCCTGTGTTCTCAGACACATTAATAACCAATATAGACAGTCTGTGGTGCCTGCAGCAGCTAGCAGCCTCAAAGCCTGGCTCTTGGAGGCCCAGAGATGGGCTCATTCCCTCAGCTAGAGTCCAAGAAACCCAGAAACCATGACCACAAAGACAGAAAAGGACTTGCTCACCTTCTGAAAACTCCAGGTGCTGAGGGGAGGGCAGAGGTGGCCTTCCACGTCTGTTACAGATCTCCATCCATTGCTCTGCTGCACACTCTACTAATCCAGGTTTTCCCAGAAAAGAAAGTATCTATCCTCTGTACTCCTTTCTTAGGAAGAGGGAAGTACTTCCTGAAGTCTAGCCTGCCAACAGCTCAGAGTTCCCTGAAGCTAAATAGAAGTATACAACAGGGGCTATGGAGCTCCAGAAGGCTCCCTCTCCCTGTGACCTGGCCTACTGTATGGTTAGTTCATCCCTCAGCATTGACTGAGCCAGGTACTGTGCTGAGAGCCGGAGCCACGTAGATGAGAACACTCAGCCTGATGGGATATTGTTGGCTCCATGCTGCTCTCCTGATGTGCACCAGTCTGTACCAGCACCAGAGGTACCCTGTCTCACAGAGCTCACAGGCCACTACACCACCCCCTTGCTGAGTTGTAAGGGTATGGTGGATACAAGGACTGCCCTGGGGCTGGAGAAACCGGGGCTCTCACAGAGTTGGGGACTCTTCAGTCCATTCCTAACCCTCAGGAAGGTTGTAGGAGGAAGCCAGATGGCCCTCACACTGACCAGAAGCCGCCACCATCAAGGAACTTCAGTTCCTCCTCTGCAGCGCCAGCCCAGGCTTCTGGGAGCTGATTCCCCACAGCGCTGTGTAACTCTTCCCCTACATCTGCTGTAGCTCCTCCTCCAGCCCTGCTCCCCAGAGCTCCCAGTTCCAGTACCCCCCAACCTACTTGGCTCTATTATCTGAGGTCTCTCTTTGCCCTCTACCAAGGAATAGGGGGGCAATGACCACAGGGCCCTTTGACCACAGGGACCTCTTGCCTCTTCAGCCCCTCCCCACAGGAAGCCGGGAGCCCAGTGGGTGTGGTCACCCAGGGCCACAGTTTACACAGCTGAGGTCTCCCTCTCTCCCCTCACCCACGGTGGGTCTGGAGGAGGGGTCAGCTCTCTTCTCTCAGCCGACTTGTTCTCTGGGACCCCCCCAAACCAGGCACACATGGTCCCCCCCAAACCCATCTGCATTTCAAAGAAAATCTGCTCCATATGTTTCCGATTCATTTACACTTCAACTCGCCATGGGGGGGCAGAGAGCAGGGCGCCTTGCCTCCAAGCCCCCCACCCCCATAGGGGGCTGGAGAGCATGTGTCCCCTTCAGGGACAGGGAGCAGTTACAGCTCAGTCATCTCGGTCGGAGTGGGATCTGCAAGATCAACTCCCTACAGTATGGACTCCCACGGGGTGGGGGTGGGGGACACTGCACCCTAGAGGCCCCATCCACTAGCCTCCATGGTGAGAGGGGATTAAAACCCAGGGAGTAACTCCTGGGCAGGTGTAGTCCCAGAGCTGGCTGTGACCTAGGTTCTCAGGGCCTCTGCTCAAGGAGTCCTTCTGGAGAGAAGAGGATATTGGGAAGTGGGGATTCCCAAGAATTCCCAGAACATAGGATAAGTGCTCAACAGGCATTTCAGGAGACATGGTGAAACATAACAGAGTATGGTCCCCACCCCTCTCCAGCCAGGAGCAGAAAGCTGTCACTTGCAGCTACCTTCTCACCAAGAATCTGGGGTTTCCACCCCACTTAAGAGATTCAACATTCTGGAATGGACCTTGGAGGAGCAACTGGGAAACAAGTTCTGCTCCCTGTTCCCAGGTCAGTCTTCACACCCTTCCCATCCAAAGGATGACATGCTCCCAAGAGCATGTCTTGGGAGGATATGAGTCTTATTTCCCAGCGCCTGGCTCTCTATCAGAAGAATGTTCGAGACTAACAGAGGTGTGTGTGTACATAGCATGGGAGAGACTCTAAGGAAACATGTCACCCCTGAACCAATTCAGACCCTTTTGTTGAGTCCAGTCTTATTGTGGGAAGAAAGGTCAGGTTTAACTAGTGGGAGTTTGAACACCACAGCCCTAGTGTGGGTCTGAATGTGAGCCCAAGGTGGAAATGTAAATCTGGGTGTGAACTTCAGGATCCCCATGTAAATCTGAGACCTCCAAGATGGAAAGGTGAGCTCCAGGATGTATGAATTTAAACATGAGCAGCAGCTCTAATGCCCATTTGAGTATGAGCGCTAAGATGCACATGTGAATCTGAGTGTGAACTCAGGTCCCAGTGTGCATATTACTGTAGCCCCACGTGGGTCTAAAGTGAGGCCCAGGATTAAAGTGTGGGTTTAACTGTGAATCACAGGATTCCCCATAAGTTAGTGTAAGCATCAGAGTTCTACTTAATTCAGAGTGTGAGCCCCAGGTTTTAAGGGCTTTTTTGAGCTACAAGTTTCCCATGTGTATCTGGATGTGAGCACAGGTCCCTTTCTGGGTCTGAGTGTGAGCCCAAAATCTTCTATAAGTCTGAGTGTGAACATTAGAATCCTAGTGTAAATCTGAGTGTTAACAGTAGGTTCCTAAATGATCCAGGGTGGCACTGAGAATCTGAGTGTGAGACTGAGTGTGAGTGAGCTCCAAGAGCCTAATATGAATCTGAGTGTGAGTCCCAGGATCTCAAGTGAGTCTGAGGCATGAGATCATGGTGTGAACCTAAGTGTGAGCTTTAGCTTCTCCATGTGAGTTTCACCTTCTGGGTCCCCACTGAATCTAAATGTGAACCCAAAGCAGTGACTGAAACCCAAGCAGTAACTCCATGTGAGTCTAAGTATGGGCCCTTGGTTTTAGTAGGACTCTGAGTCTGAATCTCAGAACGTGAATCTGAGTGTGAATCCCATTATCAAGCTGTGATTCTGAGTGTGAGCTCATAAGAGTGAATGTAAAGCCCAAGACCACAGGATGAGTTGAAGTGTCCCAGTGTGAATCTGAGTACAAATTCCAGAGCCCCAGGCAGTCTTGAGGGTAATCTTTAAACGTCTAGTCTTTGATAAGACTCACAGTCCAAGTTGAAACATGAGCCCTGGTCAAGTATGAAACTTGGGTCCAGCTCACAAGCCTGTCCAGGTTCCCCAGGACCCCATCTAGAGCATGTGTGTGGGTTGTAAGAGTGGAGACAGAGTGGTGTGGCTTACTGAGACCCACAGGCCCCTCCTAGCCCTACATCCACGGATTGTCTAATTGTTCAAGCCCCATCCCCACACATGCAATCACACCTAGAGTTAGACACACAAAAGCATATCCAGTGTTTCTGACACCCTGGACACACAACAACTGCAGATGCAAAAACACACCTCCGCTACCTCAGTGGTTACAGTCACACAAACACCCCCAGTGATACAGACACCAATATGCATCAAGTATTACAGGCAAAACAACTAGGTGCAGACACTCCTACAGCGGCATGCAGACACACATCCAGTGTTGCAGACTAGCTGCCAGCCACACTGACACACACAGACGCTTCTCAAAGAGAGACTAGACAGAAGAGAAAGAAAATCCTGAATTTTCAACAAGGCGTGAAATAGTCCTGCCCGCCTGAAGCTACTGGGGGTGGGGGTGGGAGGGGGGGAGAAAAGAGAAGAGGGGACCAAGAGCGCCAGCGAGCGAGTGAGCAAGTGAGCGAGTGAGCCGAGCGGGCGAGAGCGCGAGAGCTAGACGCTGGAGGCTCGGGAGAGGAGAGAGCTGCCCAGGAGGAGAGGAGAACTGTCCGTCTGGTGACCTCCCCGCGGCCCAGCCCCCACGCACGGGGAGATACACTACTCGGAGCAACACAGGGACACCCAGGCCGGCTCATACATAGCTGTACTGGAGGAGACACACACGGGCAGACTCACAAAGAGGCACTTGGAGATGCACCATAGGCGGACTCACATGGACACACAACACAGCACTTACAAAGAGATACACTGGAAGACTCCACGAGTATACAAACAGGAGGATTCCCGAAGAAATCACCGGCAGGCTCCAGCCGACGCACATACAAACATCGGCAGATTCACACGGACGCACACACTGGCAGACGTACAACCGTCCGTCCATACCCTCTGACACTTTGAAGACCCGATTTCTGCCAGAGGAGAAAGCCATCTTCCGGATTGCGGGGGTCACTGCGACCCCCCTCCCCATGACCCGTAATGTTCTCAAACCCCGCGCCCGCAGCTGGGGGGCGGGGGAGAACCAGGATGCTCTTACAATAGGTCCCTCCATAGCCAATTGTCCGACCCCACCACCACGCCCAGCCCCCTCCGCACGCCTTGACGTGGGGGGCCGTTTTCTCGCACCCCTGCCCCCGAGTTTGCGGGCAAAGTTTCCCGTGAACTTTCCTGTACCCCCTGGACTGTGGGTCCACACGTGTCCCTGTCTTCTCCCCGCGCTAACAAGGGCCGTAGATCTGTCGCTCCGCGGGAGGGTCTGAGGGTCCAGCTGCTCGACGCTAGTCGCGGGGTACTCACCGTGCCCTCGGGCCGCAGTGACTCTGCGCCGCGCCCTCTGTCCGCCCCAGGCAGGGAGCCAGGCTAGCAGCGCGGAACGAGCGTCGCTGTTGGATCCCACCGCCAAGCTCCGCGTCGCGCCGTGCCGGCAGGAGCCGCCGCCTCCGCTGCTGCCGCCGCCGCCCGCTCTGCACCGGCTCCTCGGCGCTCGGAGGCTTTAACCCCCCCATCCTCCTCCCTCCCTCGCGCGTTCCCTCCCTCCTTCCCTCGCCCATGTGACCGCGGGCGCCCGCTCGGCCGCGCGCGCCCTCGCTCCCCTCCCCCTCCCGCCTTCCCTCCCCGATCCTCCGAGACCGCGCGACACGGCCCCCTCCCCGCCACAGTCCCCGCGCGTCCCCGCTCTGGCACGCGCCCGCGCCTGACACGCGCGGGCACACTCTCCCTGTGCGGGCCTGTGAGTCCCCACTCCAACTCACCCCCAGCTGGCATGCATCCTTCCTGGAGCTGACACACTCTCTAGCTCTCGCATGCGTACCCACCTCACACTCGCCCTTTCTCGGGTGCGCCCTCCAGACCTTGATCCCCGAGCTTCACGCTCAGATCCGGGCGCGGGTCTCATAAACGCGCGCGCACACACATCCACACCCACATCGCTTGCTTCTTCAAAGCCGCTGGGCGCGCACCCCTCCCCCTGGGGTCATTCATTCGCACTCTTACCCAGTCTTAGCCAGGTCTCTCCTGCTCACACTCCCGCACCTTCAGGCCCAGTCTGTCTCCCAGTGACACCCTGACACACCCTGAACCAACTCCCGCGGTCCTCCGTCCATCCCGCTGAGAGAAGAGCTCGAGCCAGAGCTCCCAGCCCCCACTTTGGGCAGGCGAGGTCAGCCGACTTGTCTCTCCCCAATTCCTACCACCCCTAACAACGACCCCCAACCAAGAACATTCAGGCAAACCTCTTAGCAGGGAGGCAGTGGGGGGTTACGCTTCCATGTCCCGGGGTGGGTAGACTAGAATCACCACGTCTCCCGAAACACCATTAACCTCTCTTTTCTCACCCCCGGGACATAACCTGGGGAGAAGTGTCCACCAGGATACGGAGGGGTGCGCCTACCCACCGAGCCTGGGCCGGCAGTGGGCAGAGGCACACCCCTCTGCGAACTTGGCAATAGCGGCCTATCCTCCCGTCTTCCTTTCCTAGCCTGGGCCACTGAAGGGTCTATGTGTTCACTTCAATCGCCACCCGTGAGTCTCAGATCTGGGTGCAATATGGTGGGTTAAGGTTAGACTACCCAACCGACTTCGGAGTCTACGTGGGGGCGTGGCGGAAAAGGTGAATACTAGAGGCCGGAGAATGGATGCCCCATCCCCAACCCCACCCGATGGATTCTTCATCCAACCTTTGATCCGTAATGCCTGAGCCTTCAACTACCCAGTTCAAGGGAACTGTTTCAGGGCTGGGGGCGGGGAGGGGAAGTGAAATATCTCGTAGTTTCCTCACGCCCTTCCCCAGGACGCTGCCCAGAACGTGCAGGCCAGTTCTCAACAAATGCCTCCGGGGATTTCCATTGCATAGAAAATCCGTCTTCCCGCCCCTTCCGAGTCTTTTCACTTTCACTTCTGTGGCCGCAGAATCCCCTCTGTGCAAACGGCAGGGGTCATCCTAGGCTGAGGCCCAGAGATGGCCTGCCCCGCTTAAAGGCACACAGTGAAAAGTAGCACCCAGCTGAGGTTCAGCCCATCTTTACTTACAGGAGACGTCCCCTACCCGGCTTCTCTGGGCCCGCCAGCCTCCTGGACGGACGTGAGGAAGGGACAGAGGGAGTAAGGGAGACTACAGAATCTGGGACGTCAACCGTTGCCCTTCCCTCTGCGCCGGCCTGGGCCTGGACAAGGGGAGCTGGAGGGCGTGCCTCTCCTCTAGGAGCAGACAGGCCTGGGCGCTCACGCCATGCTTGGAAACGGCTGGCGAGTGTCGAGATCGGCGGGACATTCGTGGGCTGACTTGACCTCTGGATGCTCCCATGTCCCGGGCTTAGCCTCATTTCGACAGAAGGAGCAATCAGGAGTTCCGGACCAGATCAGTGTTCCCTCTCCACCTGGAGACGCGAAGGCTGTAAGCCCGTGCGGCAGTCCTTCAATTCGAGGGTTCCGGGGTACTGGGGTCCGGGACCCGCATGTGCCCGCATTTTCAAGAATCAGAGGCCTCGGGATACACGTCTGACCCAGTATCGTCGTCTATGGATCCGCTACTCCTCCGGGCGCTGGACTCAGCAGGCCCACTTCCCCAGGACCGCAGCGACACCTGGCGGGCGTTGTGGGACGCGCTTTTCCCATCAGGAGGAGGCTCCGGCTCAGGGTAGAGGCAGCGCCCACCTACCCAATAGTTGAAGGGCGGCCCCTCTCCATTCCACCGCCACAGCCTGGCCCAGGACCGATTCTCCCATTTGAGCGATAGACTACTCAGGGATTTCCGCTCTTGCTACCTTCAATTCCTTACCTGCACAAGAGCCTCCTAAACTTCTGTGTAGAACCTTCTGGTTCTCCCCCACTGCAAAGTAGATTTCGAAGGAGTGGGCATCAAAACCCTGCCTCTTCTCTAGCTTTATTAGATGGCCCTATCCCTGGCCTCCTCACCTCTGCACAGCCCCCTTCTTTGTCATGGCTGGTTGATCCTTAAACTCTAACTCTACTTCATTGTGTGCTCCCTCCCCCTCAGCACAGTCTCTAGTCCCTTCTCCAAATTCCTTTCCAATGCTTGGGGGGTGGGGGAGAGGCAGGAACTAACTCCTAGGAGGGAGGTCATAGCCTCCCCCCATCTCCCCCACTCGTGCCTTGCAAATGATGGGACCCCAGATTTAGTAACCCCAGTAGGCCTTGGGAGATTGAAGAGTGTTCTCCTTGACTTACACACAGCAAAACATACACCAACGCAACCATATCTACACGTACAATTCAGTGATGTTGATTAAATTAGTTGAGTCGTACACCATTTTCACCCTCCTTGTCCGAGTAGTTCTATCGTCATTCACATAAACTCCTCGTTACCTTCTAAAGGATCCTATCTAATCTTTAGGGCTACTAGTGCTATTTGATTCCATAGAGATAGCTCTCTAAAGAGCATTTTTTTTAAAGAGAATTTTTTAAAGAGCAAGCATTTTTTAAGTTAAGTTAAACGATTGTTTCATTTTAAGACAACTCCAGGGGATAATTTTGGTTTCAGTTTTAAAGATGATCTCAGGGCAATAGTTGAAGGGGAAACAAAAAATCTACAGTTCATGAAAATTTGAAATTCTGCTCTGTGTTTTCCCCCTTTTGATCAGGATTCTTCTACAGAAACTTTGATCAAAATGTTCAGTAATGGTAACTGGGCACCATCCAGTTCTTCTGGTCTCATGGCAAAGGCGGCAGTTGCTCATGGAGACAACTAGCCACTTATTCCATAGCCTCCTCCTATTCTAAAAAGTCTGGAGTTTTAAACCCACCATGAAAGGGGTCTCTTTGACCAGGGCCTCTTGCTCCACTGTCTACCCTGTCAAGTGACCTAAGCTGGGATGACCTCCCATCCACATCCTCCAAGATTCAACTCGTCCAACCCATGACTTTGGGCAGCAAGGGCCTTTCGGCCCTCCTATGGAGGTGTTCACAAGGAAGGAGAGTCTCCATCCACTTCTGTGGTCCCCTTTTTCTAGTACTCCTTCAAAAAATCTTGCTGATTTCTAACCTGTGATGCAGACAGTTGGTGGTGCAGTGGTTAAAGCACTCAACTAGCCAAAAGATCCACAGTTCAAACCCACTGGCAGCTATGCAGGAGAAAGTGTGGCAGTCTGCTTCTGTAAAGATTTACAGCGTTGGAAACCCTGCAGTACCAGTTCTACTCTGTACTTAACCTTGATCACTATGATTTGGAACTCACTTGATGGTAGGTAGTGGGTTTGGTTTTTAGGCTATACACACAGTTCTGCTCTGATGCACATACCTGGGTCCCCAGAGGCGCAATCACTTTCACACACTGTGTCTTAACTACAAGAGTCAAATGCAGAGTTATGTAGAGTCACATACCCAGCCTCAAAGAATCAAATGTGTATATTCAACCTCTCCATGGCATACTGGGAATCAGGGTCCCCTGCTTGGGGTAGGGAGCCACAGGTTCCAGAACAAGGCATTGAGTCGCCAAATCACACACCGGACCCGCTTACAGACACACAGAGCCTTGTATCAGTCACACCCGCGTGTCACTCAGGCACACACGCAAAGTCACACACGTTCTCAATCACACAAAGTCCCACACTGGGGTTTGGCGGGTCGGGGCGGGCTCCGGGAGGCAGTTACGTAAACGCCCTCACAGCCCCCCTCGTTCCCCCTCGTGTTCCCCCCCTGCTTCCTAGCGCAGTGCCAGCGCCCGGGGCGGCTTGGCCCGGGCCCGGGAACAACTCGGCCTCGCGGAGGCTCCAGGCGCCGAGAAACCCGATCCCGACACAGCCCGAGGCCGAGCCAGGGAGGGGGGCCCAGAGCACCCCCCCCACTCAGAGACCAGACCAGCCCCACAGGGAGGACTCACCCCCATTCTGGGTCAGCACCCAGCCCGGGCACCTGGAGCCCACTCACAGCACCCTCACTCCAGAACCCTATCTGGACTGCTACCTAAGGGTCCTGACCCTTACAACGTCTGGCATCCCTCACCCCCCAAAAAAGGCAAAGAAAGATTCCCTAAAGGTATAGCAGAGAGCTGGCGCAGTAATGGGGAAACCTAAGTATTCAGCCAGGAATTGCCCCAAATTCTGAAGAGCCATCTTTTCCTTCCTCTAAAAAACTCCCAAAAACCCACTGCCATAGAGTCAATTCCAACTCATAGTAAAGATTAAAGGGCTTCTGCTCCCGTAAAGATTTACAGTCTCGGAAACCCTGTACAGGGTCGCTATGAGTTGGAATCGACTCCATGGCACATCACAATAACAAACTCACTCTTGGGGAGCACGTTGCCTCTAGAGGATAAGCACTGGAGTGAGAACCACTAAGTCAGTAGTTCCAGCCCACCAGCTGCTCGAGGGAGAACTAGGAGGTTTTCCTTTCCCTTAAAGATTTGCAACCTGGGAAACCTTATACAGAGTCGCTAGGAACCGTTGAGTCTCAGGAACCGACTCAACGGCACACAACAACAACAACAACAATTCCTGTTGTGAGAGTCTTTCTGCGTCATAAT